CATAGATTTAAAATCTGTCGCTGCATAAATCTGTTGCTGAAACAGTTCTGCTTTCACCACTGAGAGCTCTTTCCAGTCAGCACTGGGTCCCACTGAGATGCTCAAATTATTTTCTGAGTACATCCTTAATTTCTGGCATTCTAAAATATTCTAGCTTATCTTGTATTTTTCTTGCCCATCCCCTAAAGCAATTGTCTCTATGGGGCACTAGTTCCTTTTAGTAGAAAATGATATTTTAAAATGAAAATCTTGAGGTTAAGAGTGCTCACTGTTACTGGGGTATCACTGTTCTCAGATTCCTCTCATGAACAGAGGTAGGAAATACATGTGTGTGTGTATGTATATATGTGTGTGTGTGTGTGTGTGTGTGTGTATGTAAAGCCATACAAATGAATATAATTATATTTATTTCCATATCACCCACCACTGAGGTTTTGTTAAGTTTTTTGGCTATCTGAAGCTCATTCACTAGAAGATTCCTATAAAAGGACTCATAGAAAATAGATCTTAGATATCGATAGCAGTTTACATGAAGTCTCTGTCTAGAAGTCATTTTGGCTAGTCATAAAATCCCTGGTTCACATTTTTTCCCTTTACATATGTTATGGCATTTTCTTCTGGCATAAGGCCTTGCTTTCAAATATAGTGATGGCAGTCTGATATTCTTTTCTCTATAAGTCACCTGGTTTTTCTGTCAAGATTGCCAAAGTATTTTCTTCAAAGCTGAAGGGTTTTACTAGAATATGTCTTGATGCTGGTTTTTCTGGGGTGATTTTCCAAGGTCTTTAGTGTCTTTAAAATATGTAGTCTTACATTCTTTTTTTTATTTCAAGAAGTTAAGGGAGGGGACATGGGTAAACCTATGGTTAATTCATGTCAGTCTGATATTGATGTTTGGTAGAAACAATGTTTCGTATTTGGTAGAAACCAATGCAATACTGTAAAGCAATTAACTTTCAATTAAAAATAAATAAATTAAAAAAAAAGAAGTTATGTTAAGCATAGTCTTTAGTATTTTTGTCTGTTTCCTTGCTTTGGTTTTCTTTTTTATGGACCTCTGTAGGATTTTTATTGCATATCTTCAACTCTATCTCTTTTTCTCAAACCTTCATTGACTTGCTTTTATTTTCACAAACACAAAACATTCCATCTGCTGTTTTGTTTTTTTTAGAGTAACAAAAATATTTTACTAAAACATAAGATTTACAGAAAATTTCAGACAAGCCATACAAAATGGTCACAAGCCTTTTTTTGAAGGGAACATTCTACACTTGACAGCAAGGTCACAATGTTATTAGTGAGGGCTGTGATGTCTGTTTAATGTTCCCATTTTGGATCAAACAATCAAGCTTGTCTATCTACAGCATCTAAATAAAGTTAGACTTGGCTAGAGAGCATAGTCTAAAGAAATGGTTAGCTGCTTTTAACCAACGCACTTAGATCACCATATAAGGGGGAAAGGAGCCCATAAAATTAAAATAAAACTACCTTCCCCCCACCGAAAAAAAAAATAAAATAAAATGCAAAAAACACCCACACCCCTGCGGCTAACCTTGACAACTACCTTCATTCACAGTGCTTTATACTTAAACCATGATGGGAAATGAATAAAAGCAGAGAGGGGCCACTGCTTTTAAATGTTTTGCAGCAATCCAGACATAGCCTCTACTCATGCTTTACAACACTGAATCAAGACAAGACATAGATTTGCTAATGTGCATTTAATCATCGAAGGATTGAAGATGCCTGGGTTTTCATTCTGTAGTTTCTAAGACTGTATCCATTAAATGCAAACAAAAAAAGGGAGAAGTCTTGGCAGAACAGAAGTGATACACACTTGACAATCGAATCAATTTAAATTATTATTCATGGCATATAGCCTAGTCCATGCTCTAGCTATTTCTAGGGCTTGGGCTTCGTTGGTCTTCCACTGCTCCGCTACATCATTTGCTAATGGATCTTCTGGAATGGGAGCACTTAACAAAGCCTAGATCGATAGCAGAACTGTGCGAATCTGCGGTGCCGGGGACCATTTACCTTTCAAAATATCTAAACATATTTTTCCCAACTTGTCTACATTAGGATGATAAATTTTGGTCATGAAACGTACTTTAAGGGCTGCCATTGGATATTCTTCTGGAAGGAATAGTTCAAGCTTAAAAATCCCTCCCTCAAAGGGGGAATCCTGAGGGCTGGCAAGGACCACATGAAAATGACGGGTGTTGCTCTCATCTGGCTCTGCTTTAATGCCGGGAACTAGTTCTGCCAGCAAACGCTGGGTTTCCTTAATAATCCTGTGGGGGCAGCCCGGCCATCTAGTCTGGTCTCCGGCTCCGCTCCCCTCAGGCATGGGTCATCTGCTGTTTTTTAAGGGCACTAATTCTTGCATTTGTTGACTCAGATATTATTTATGGATTTTTGAAAAAATCGTTAACTCTGCACCTCTTCAGTTAGTGTTTTCATACCTTTAATGAGAATGTCTTTTGGTTAAGTTTTCATTTCTGCAGTGATGTTCATATGCTTCTTACTTTCTTTCATTATTATAATTCTATGGGATTTGGTCTTGATCTTTTTTAGCTAGTCATTTTTAAGTCAAGTAGATAGTTTTTCTAATTTTACTGCTATCAAGCTCTGCATTTTCATATTAAAAACTAAAGTGAGTTACTTTATGAGATTATATAACTCTAGACCTCTCCTATACTTTCATTTGAATCTTTTTTTTTAAACTTGTCTCTACTGTCCCTGTTCTATTTAATTTAGATCCTATTCCCAGCAGACTGCACGAAGCTCTGTTTGGAGTTTAGTTCTGGAAGATATCTTCGGCTGGAGAGGTTTGAGACATCATAACACCCAGAGTACCCAAGTTCTGTTAAGATCTTAGTTTCAGATACTACAGTTTTTTACTTTTGCTATCAATATGTTCCTATTATAGGGGAATCTATAGACAGTCAAAAACCATTCCACTGACACTTTCCAAAAATTATGAATGACAACTTAAATTTTCACCTGCTGATTCTAGTCATAACAAATTTAATCAGAAAAGAAAATTTCAACAGTTTCTCTAACCATGAAAGGGTTTTCTTTTCTTCTTCCTTTCCTCTTTGCTTTCTAAAGGAGGTGATCATTTCACAACAAATACAAATGTCAAATCATTATGTTATAACGCCTGAAACAAATCTAAAATTGTATGTCAATTAAACTTCAATTTTAAAAAATCTGAAAATTCAAAAGTGGGTTTAGACTACTTTAAAAATTATTAAGTTTTACTGATATCGTCACAAACTGAATTTTAGGATATAGAAAAGAATTTGCCAAATCAGAAATATGGCTGATGATTAAAATCACCAAAGATATTTTAAATCATATAATCACTAGTAAAAGGAGAATAATCAGGATTTTTGCTAAAAGAAATATTGGTATGTACAAACATTATACCCTACATTAAAAGGCAAAATTACTTGGTTTTATGCAATGCTTGCAGCTAGGGGATGACTTTATGATTAGTTTCCTCAAAGCAGCAAACAAGGTAAGAACATACTATTTTCAAGTTCTAATTGAAACAGTAAAGGAAAACTAAAAGTAGAGGAAGAAAGGACAATAAAGAGAGCAAATTCTATACCTTGTCATTAAAAGGCATGTTATCAAGAAAAAGTATTAACCAAACGATGTTAGACAAAACTTCAATTGGTTTCTCTGCTTCTAGAAAAGTGAGGACTTGGGTTCTGATCTTCTGAAAAGGTTAGGATTTGATCTGCTCAGTTAACTGTATTAAAAAAGTCAATCAGGAAATCAAGTCATAATTATCATAGACTTAAGAATTTGCTAAGGATGACCCAAAACAAAAAAAGAAAACCAATCCACACCACACACATACAAAATCAATTTAAAAATGGGCTTACTTAAAAAAGGACTTAAATATTCTCCCAAACAACACATACTAATATGAACATGAAAAAGTCTTCAACATCATTGGTCATTTTGAAAATGCAAACCAAAAACCATAAATACCACTTCACATCATTAGAATATCTATTGTTTAAAAAAAAAACAAACAAGTGATGTGTAGGATGTGAAAAAATTGGAACCCTTATGCAGAACTGATAGGAACGTAAAATGGTGCAGCAGTTGTAGAAAACGATATGGCAAATCCTCAAAAATTAAAAACAGAACTATCATCTGATCCAAAAATTCTACTCCAGGCATATACCCAAAAGAAGTGTAAGCAGATATTTGTACACCCACTTTCATAGCAACATTATTTATAATAGACAAAAGGTAGAAGAAACTTAAGTGTCTAGTGACAGATGAATAGATAAAATGTGGTAGACACACACAAGAGATTATCAACATTAAAAAAGAAAAATTCTCTTACATGCTACAATATGGAGGAATACTGAAGACATTAAGCTCAGTGAAATAAGGCAATCACAAACGGACAAATATTGCATGATTTCTCTGAAGTGAGGTTCCTAGAGTTAGTCAAATTCATAATCAGAAAGTAGAATGATGGATGCCTGTGGCTAAGGGGAGGGGAAAAGGGTAGTTAGTGTTTAATGGGTACATAGTTTCAGTTGGAGGATGTAGGTCTGGAGATGAGTGGAGGTGACAGATGCACAACAATACAAATGAACTTAATGCCACAGAACTGAACACTTACAAATGGTTAAAATGATAAAATTTTATGTTATGTATATTTTACCACAATAATTTTTTTAAAGTTCACTAATATCTTTGTATTCTTAAATTAGTAAAAGATATCATGTTTTGATGACTGGAACACTTTTATGTAAATTTTTTAAATGTTCAGTATAAGAGACCAAAGTACTCAATGGTTTTTTGCCTCTTTTTCTTTTTCATTAAATGATAGAAACATCTACTTCCTTTAACAGGAAGAGTTAAAACTTTTCAAACTGAGGGAAATTCAACTGATATAGGTGGGAAGAAGAGTGGAAAAAAGAAGAAATTACAAAACAAAGAAAAACAAAACACACAAAAAAAACCTTGTTTAGTTGTTTCTTCCTCCTTTTTAGTCTCCTCTTCTTCTAAGCTGGGACTTTCCCGGGAAGAGCTGTCCTGTTGGCTAGAGTTCTTCAATAGTACAGGATCAATCTGTGCTTTCAGGAGTGCAAGAGTCTCAGCCAACTCGTTTCGATTTCTAAAAAAAAAATGGAAAAACAGAAGGCAGCATAAAAATCTTTCTCCTGTTCTAAGCTTTGTGGCTGCCAATAAGGGTGGGGAAGGATGGGAGTTTGGGATTAGCAGGTGCAAACTAATTTATAAAGGATGGATAAACAACAAAGTCCTACTACATAGCACAAGAAACTGTATTTAACATCCTATGATAAAGCATAATAGAAAAGAATATGAATATAAGAATATTATATGGGTAATTGAGTTGCCTTGCTGTACAGAAGAAATTAAGACAACACTGTAAATCAACTATACTATATAAATTTTTAAAAATATCTTTCTTCAGTTTTAAAATGATTTCAGAATAACACCTATTAGAAATTAACATTTAAAAAAGAAAAACACATTAAGAACATCCAAAACACTAGTACAGCTAACCCTAATTAACCTTAAATTTTAAAATTAAGTATTAGGAATGAATGCATATTAAAATAAACTGTTCGCCAACGAGTAATCTTAGACTATATTTTTATTAGAGTGGCAATTCAAATCTCTTTGGTTAAAAAGAACAGTAGGAACAAAATTAAACAAAAACCAAAGTTTGAAAATTTTTTAAAATATGATGCAATCTCTCAGGAGTACAAAATCAAAGTAAATTCAATTTGAATAAAAATATAAGAAAATCCCAAATAAATAAGATACCAATCTACAAATTATTTTTACTACCAAATCCAGAGGTATATATAATATGGTCAATTTTAATGCCACATACAATTAACAATAAAACAATAATTTAATCATAAATAATTATTTATAATAATAATTTAAATTTTTTTTCTTGCTCAGAAAAACAGTGATAATAGCAGAAACAAAAAGGAAACCTTGGACTAAGAGTTGGGAAATATAGTTCTGGATCTGCCACTAAGTCAATCAGCACCATGATCCTCCCATCTGTGTCATCAAAGGACTGTGCATGCACATCTTAATTCTATGTAGTTAGTATCCAGATGAAATTATTTTTCTTATCTGTCATGCCACATATGTCCTCTATCCTGTTTTCACCTCCCTTTCCAATTCCACCACCATTCTAGCTAAACACTACTGCTTGAAAGTGGGGACTGTCTTATGAAATAGGCTCTAAAAAATATTTAATGGATAAATAGAATCCCTGCTCCTAAACCAAATGGCTATGTACACCTGGAGAGGTCATATATCTTCATCAGACCGAGTTTCCCTATCTATGTAAGACTGGATTCTCTTAAGTAATATTAAATTGGTTTCCAAAGAAAGTAAAAAATTGCCAGTGACAAACATTTTTCAGAAATTAAAAGGATAATCATTTTGCCATTGTCTATGAGAAAGAACACACATTATAAATATTGTGCATGGGAATGACTATACGTTTATACATAGTATAACTATCACATTAGCATACACAATAAAATGAACAGTTTTAGACTTTCAATTATCTAATAGGAGTAGGTCATATCAGATGATGTTTCAAGATTGTGTGGTACTATACCCACTTTACAAAAAACAAAAATAGTTTCTATTTTTGAACTTCATTAGCCCAATCTGCTTCTAACCTAAGCCTCTATCCACTTAATGTTATTATCATCATATTTCAAAGAGAATTTCATATGTATAAGTGTCCCAATCCATTTGTTATTTTCTGAGGTCATGCTGGAAACTGAAAAATACATTGAAGTATTTCACTATACCTTCTTTTAAAAGCTTTGAACATTAGAAGCATGCTAGAAAATCCATGTCAATTACTTCCAGTACTCTAAGCAACAAAAAAATGTGCAGAAAAGTTGATTAAAGAACTCTCCTAAAGGCTTTTAACCTGTCTATTACATTAAAATGCAAACCTAATAAAGCCATTATCTTATAAAAACAGAAAACTACCCATCTGGATTTCTCCTGTTTCAATCTTACAATTAGATTTAGTATGTTAAATAATTTTTAAAAGCCCTAAATTGGAATGGAGGAAATTTTAATAAATATAGATTAAAATTACATCCAAATTTCTTACCACTTTTTACAGAACTTTTTTTTAACGTAATTTTAAAGTGTTACCTTCCATTTACAGTTATTACAAAATACTGGTTTTACTCTCCATGTTTTACAACACATTTTGAGCCTATCTTACATCCAATAGCTTATACCTCCCCCTACACTGGTAACCACTAGTCTGCTCTCCATATCTGCTAGTCTGCCTCTTTTTTGCTTTATTCACTAGTTTGTTGTATTTTTTAGATTCCACGTATAAGTGGTATCATTAAGTATTTGTCCTTTCTGACTTCACTTTGCATAACGCCCTTCAAGTCCACCCATGTTGCTGCAAATGGGAAAATTTCCTTCTTTTCATGGCTGAGTAGTATTCCATTGTGTATATACACCCCAACGGATTTATGTATATTAATTTTGTGTTCTGCAACTTTTCTAAATTCACTGTTGAACTCTAGTAGTTTTCTGGTAGCATTTTTAGGATTTTTCTATGAATAGCATCACATAATTTGCAAACAGTGGCAGTTTAATTTCTTCACTGTCAATTTGAATTCATTTTTTTCCCCTCTCTGATTGCTGTGGTAAGGATTTCCTCTGTTCTGATTAAAAGTGGAGTGGTCATCCTTGTTTTTGATCTTAGAGGAAACGCTTTCAGCTTTTCACCAGTAAGTATGATGTTAGCTGTGGGTTTGTCATGTATGGCCTTTATGATGTTAAGATGTTCCTTCTATGTCTACTTTCTAGAGTGTTTTTATCATAAATGGACATTGAATTTTATCAAAAGCATTCTGCATCTATTAAGATGATCATATGGCTTTTATTCTTTGTTAATGTGGTTCAAGTATCATGTTGATTGATTTATATATACTGAAAAACACTTGCATTCCTGGGATAAATCCCAGTTGATCATGGTGTAGGATCCTCATAATGTTTATCAGCTTGTTTGTTTTGACTGTGCCATGAGGCATATGAGACCTTAATTCCTTGACCAGGGACTGAACCCATGCTCCCTGCAGTAGAAGTGTGGAGTCTTAAGACTTTTAATATGTTGCACTCAGTTTGCTAGTATTTTGTTGAGGATTTCTCAATGTTCATCATTGACACTGGTCTATGATACTGGCTTATTGATACTGGCCTTTTTTTATGGTACCTGTCTGGTTTTTGTATCAGGATGATATTAGCCTCACAGAATAAGTTTGGAAATGTTCCTTCCTCTGCAATTTTCTCCAGTAGTTTCAGAAGCAAAGGTGTTAACATCGCTCTGTTTGGTGGAATTCATAACTGGCTCACTTTGCTATATAGAGTAAACTAACATGGCATTATAAAACAACTATACTCCATTAAAATTAATTACAACAGAACAAATAAACAAAAAATGGTTTGCTAAAATTTACATGTGAAGCCATCTTCTACAGGACCTTATAAAGGAATCTGTGGATTCTAACAATTCAGTTGTTTTGCCCTCCCCCTCTCCATTGCTTTATTTTCTTTAAAACACTTCTTCATTCAGACATATTAAATCATGCTCTCTTATGATCTCAGGTGTTTACACTTTTTCTTCAGTCCAAAGTGTGTTTTGGACTAACTCCAATTATTATTTCAAAGACAACCAGATGTGCAACTGAAACTACCACAACATTGTTAATTGGCTACACCCCAATACAAAATGAAAGTTCAAAGTTTCAAAGACAAGCAGAGAATGGAAAAACAATGTGGTACATCCATGGAACGGAATATTATTTAGCTATAAAAAGGAATGTAGTACTGATTCTTCATAGATGAACCTTGAAATATTATGCTATGTCAAAGAAACCAGACATGAAGGCCACATATGGTATGACTCTATGTATATAAAATGTCTGGAATAGGCAATTTTGGGAAACAGAAAGTAGGCTGGCAGCTGCCACAGGCTAGAGAAAGGGAGAATGGAGAGAAACTGCCAGTCTACAGGGTGTGGGGATTCTTTGTTGGTTGAGGAAAATGCCCTGAAGTTAGATGATAGTGATAGTCACATAACTTCGTGAATATACTAAAAATCACTGAACTGTATTTTTTTTAAAATGATGGTGGCTTGGAGATGCATGTAAGGAAAAATGAACATGTAAACACTGGATACATTTTACATAGAGAGCTGATTGGATTTGCTGATAGAATGTATGTGAAGTGAGAGAGAAAGAAAATGTGCCTCCCAAGTTTTGGATCCAAGCAAACATGAATGCTATTAACTGTGATAGGGGAAACATAAGGAAGTGGAAAGGTTAGAAGCTCAAGTTTTGGGCAGACTGATTTTGACAGATTCTAAACTATCTGTACCTACAGTTAACCTAGACTTGAGTGAAATGGAACATATCACTCTAATTATTATAACACAGAATATAACTTTTCTTAAGGGATGTTCAGAATTAGAATTGGTAGGGATAAACAAAAGTAATTGTTCAGAAGCAATTGATCTGGTAGCACAATTAAAAAAAAAAAAACAGACAAAAAAACAAAGCCAACCATAGGCATCGTCTTCTCCCAAGTATGGGTTAGATATCTGAATCCTCCACAGCACACTGGCGTAATCTCCATCACAGACCACATTTATGACGCTACATTATCATTTCCTATTTCCCTGTATCTTTCTCCAACAATATGGAAGGCTTAGGAATGGCATTAAGTCTTTTCCCTTTCAGAGCCCAGGAGAGTAATACAGCAAGTCTTTAGCAGATGTCTGTAATGTATGATTCCACTATTCACCAATAACATTCCATTTTTCTCATATAATTTCATATCACTGAGCAGATAAAAAGGAAGAAAACTGAGGACAACAGTATCTAAGGGGGTCAAGTAACTGAAAGAAGGCATTAATGCATGATATTGACAGGAGTATATTAATAACAGAAGTTAACATTAGTGAGTGATTACTATGCTCCAGGCACTACTCCAAAATCATGACATGAATTAGTTCATGTAATTCTAATATAATCTGATTAAATAAGTACCATTATTACCCCCATTTTTTAGACTAAGGAA